CGGATGTAGTCATACATACCCCAACATCCCGTCGAATGTGGTCGTACATACCCCACACCACTATGGGTGTAGTCATACCCCATAACTACTCTGGGTGTAGTCATATCTCGTAAGAATTCTTCAGTCACCACCACATGAGAGGTGTGACTATCATACATATCATAATAGAGTAATAGCATAGGGAGCCCTAATTACTATGTAGTTGACCGTGAGACAACAACATTCATATTTGGTATCCTTATACATGATTCATATCTCATCTTGCTAAATCATAATTCGTTACCTCAACATGTACTTGACCTGACCATAATTGGCTCAACATAGGTAAACCAGGAGTCGTATAGTTGCACTTCCTCGGGATAAACCCTCGTGCAAGTCATCCTCCTTAAAACATCATAATATCACCATGGGATATATATTTTCCCACTTGTACATCCAAATACATCAATCATGAAAAATCATACCCAATCACCTTTTCGAACCATCATAAGGCATATCAACAGTCAACCCCACAATTTGCAACATATACAAAATCATCAGCATAAACAAGGTTCATATCGATTAGGGCAAGTCAATAATATCATACAACAATCCAGGGTTCAACATATAGCACAAAAGTTCATACACCCCTAATCATGCCATTCTAGTTCACCTAGGTCAATTCTAAGCATCAATATAATTATCGTGATACGACAAACCCGGTATGCCGTGCTAATCCCTCACCAGTTCTGGTCGTTCAAACACCGGTTTAACCTTCCCGTACCAAAACGTCGATTTCACGAACGAACCCCGAATTAAAATCCGAGACCGTCCTAATATCCCCTGCAGTATCCCCGTCAATATTAGTTCTAGGCTCCGGGTCAAATTCTCGATAAAAACACATCAAACCCTGGCCGGAGCTAAATTCAGCGGTTTAGACCCCGGCCTAAATAATAGCCGAAATTCATGGATTAAAACTAGAGGATTGATTACCTCGCTGCAGGAAGCTCGTATATGAAATTTGGGCTCAATCCGGCTTCCGGATACTCCGAAACCCTAATTTGACTTATCGGGAATTCAAGAAATTCCTGATCCAAAAACTCGTTTTAAAGCTCTAAATCGATAAATCACGATGTATAGATGAATTAGGCATTACTTACGGGATTTTTGGATCAGTGTAGCTCAAGAATCGAGCTACGGAAATTTTCCCCGAGCTCCCCTGTGCGCGACTGTTGTCGCTCTGTTCCTTCGGTTCTTTCTTGGAGAAAATGGAAAAAGATGATGGGGATGATAATTAAAGTAATGGACGGGGAAGTTTATATATATATGTCGGCCGCTTAATTAATATATATATATATATATATATATATATATGGTGGCTTCTATGGTACCCCGGGTGAAATCTAGGGTACCGTATACCTTGAGTATGAAAACACTATCTTGACCTCGAATTAGCAGAATTTTTGGGCTTGATACTATACCCTAACCCTTAATGAGTGAACCCTAGGTCCTAATTATCTAAATCATAAACTATAAACCCTAAGATGAAGCATTCATCTTTTTGCCTATATTTGGACGAATAATAGCCATCGATTCTTGTTTCTAATTAAATTGATCTTGGGGTATAAGATTTAGAGAACTAAGACCTAGATTTTGATCTTTAAGAGTTAGAGTATGACATCATGTCCAAAAGATCAATCAATTCAAGGTCTAGATAGCGTTTTCATACTCAAGGTATGCGGTACCCCGGATTTCATCCTAGGTACCGTAGAACTCACCATATATATATATATATATGGTGAGTTCTACAGTACCCCGGGTAAAATCCGGGGTACCGCATACCTTGAGTAAAAAAACGCTATCTAGACCTCGAATTGACTGATCTTTCGGACATGATACTATACTCTAATCCATAAAGATCAAAATCTAGGTCTTAGTTCTCTAAATCTTATACCCCAAGATCAATTTAATTATAAACAAGAATCGACGGATATGATTCGTCCAAATATAGGCAAAAAGATGAATGCCCCATCTTAGGGTTTATAGTTTATGATTTAGATAATTAGGACCTAGGGTTCACTCATTAAGGGTTAGGGTATAGTATCAAGCCCAAAAATTCTGCTAATTCGAAATCTACATAGTGTTTTCATACTCAAGGTATACGGTACCCTGGATTACACCAGGGGTACCGTAGAAGCCACCATATATATATATATATATATATATATATATATATATATATGGTGCCTTCTACGGTACCCCGGGTGAAATCCGGGGTACCGCATACCTTGAGTATGAAAACGCTATCTAGACCTCGAATTAGCAGAATTTTTGGGCATGATACTATACCCTAACCCTTAATGAGTGAACCCTAGGTCCTGATTATCTAAATCATAAACTATAAACTCTAAGATGGTGCATTGATTTTTTGCCTATATTTGGACGAATCATAACCGTCGATTATTGTTTCTAATTAAATTGATCTTGGGGTATAAAATTTAGAGACTTAAGACCTAGATTTTGATCTGTAAGGGTTAGAGTATAGTATCATGTCCAAAAGATCAGTCAATTCAAGTTCAGGATAGCGTTTTCATACTCAAGGTATGCGGTACCCCGAATTTCACCCTGGGTACCGTAGAACTCCCCATATATATATATATATATATATATATATATATATATATATATATATATATATATATATATAATTAATACGTATACTTATCCGATCGATCGATAATCTGATTTTCGTCGAAATAGTGTCGAAATGCTCGATTTTAAATCGCGAACTTTCTAGCAATCAAAATATGGGTTTTGCCTGAACGGGATGTTACACAAGGTAACATGAAAAAATAAAGAGATGGACTGAACAGCTGATGCTGGAATCCGCACACTACCACTTTGCTCCCTTCCTCCTGTGACATTCTTACCCTTCCTAACAACCAACTGAAACCTATCTTCGTCCAGAAGATCAGCCCTCTATGGAGTTGAAGAGCTAGCAGTAACCACCACCTCCTTAGCCCCCCCTAGATTGCCTGACCTGCTGAACTCATTTGTGATTGTGAGCTACTCTAAGCCTCCATTGCTACCTCTGGAGTACCCTCTTCAGTACTAGTCGAAGAAGGTGCACCGTCAACCACTTCCTTACCCTTATCAACTGCCTGCACTGGAACAACCACAGCCAACGGCTCCTGCTGCGCTGCTCTACACTCCAAACCAGCACCCATCTCATGGCCAAACTCGGCACACTGCTCACAACGAGCTGAGATATTGAAATAATGAACAAACAGATGCAATCGCTCCACACCTTCTGGACGACTCCGGATCTCAGTGGGGAAAGGAGAATCCGCTGCCATTTCAATGCATAACTTCTTTGTACCCATCTCGGCTCCCAGCTTCGTAGCTTGATCCATTCACAAAGGAGTACCCAACAAACTTGCAATACCCAAACCCTCCACCATCATATACTCCAGCGGTAACTCCCTGATCCTAACCCAAATCGGAAGCTTAGAACTATCCAACTTCATTGATTGAATTCCAGGGACCCATTTTCGAATGAACAAGGGGATATTCTCATAATGCCAAGGTCCATTCTAAAAAACTAGTTACTCGATTCAGTACTTTCAAATTGAAACTGTAACATATTCTCACCAAAAGCTGAGACAAAAACTCGACCATCCCTGCCCTAGAAGCGCTGAGCCCATCGAGGAATCACAACAATCGGAGGCGCCTTTGAGAGGAACTGCTCAACCAAAGCGTTACGCCATCTGACTGCTCCTTCATCACGAATCGCCCTAGGAGTCACAAGCTCACCATCTACCTGAGTCGGAGCGACGTAGCGAAGACGATTGCCCTCACACACGCCGAAGAGTTGAGCCCAATTTGCCTACTCCGGCGCGGCCATGTTCGCCGAAACGTGGAAATTAGGTCAGAAGAAGAGAGAGAAAGAAGAGAGAGGTAAGAGCGTTTGGAATTTAAATGGCCTCGATGTTACTTAGGGAAGTAGATAGAAAATAAAAATTATTGATTGAAATACTTTCTAGGAAGATTTGATCCCCACAAGCATGTAAACAACGATCGATTCACTGATTCAGATAACAACTATAGAAAATGATATAACAATCGGATTTCTGGTTAAGAATCAGAAATTGGAGAAGTAATCTAGGGAAAATTTTGACCCTGTAATGTTCGGGTAACGTTTTGACCCGATGACAATCAGCAACAAATAGTTTTAAATTCCTCATACCAACACATTGGAGTTGTTTGTAAAGTATACAAAGTTTAGGTACTAAATTGCTAAAAAAAATTGGGTAGCATCATATAATTTTACCATAAAATTCTACGAACCGAATTGTTAAAAAAGAAAATTTGGGTACTAAATTATAATAAAAAATAATTTTTGGTACCAACATGTAAATTTTTACAAATCAATATGTTGATTAGACCGAACTACTGACCCGCCTCGTCCCAAGGCGCCCCGATCCTAGAGGGTCAAATAGGATGAAGAAGGAAACAGAGGCAGGACAAGGTGGGTCAGTTTTAATAGGGCAGTGAGTTTTGTTATTTGATTTTTATAGACTGGAGCCTATAATTACATTTTACCTTCCAATTAATATCATAATATTTGTTGACTAGAAGCATTAATGAACAAAGCTGTCGGTGGATACGAATGGACATGGGTTTGCAACAACAAAACAAAAGCGCATCAATGCCGCATCGTCGGTCGGCTTCAAGCTCCTGCTGGTTGTTATATTAAAGTCATATGGTGGTCAGAAGGGGCTATTCGTTCATGATATTTGTGCAATATAACAATAGCTAGCGAAAATATTTGTAGAAATTAAAACGGAGACACTAGCAATTAAAGCACAATTGTACTTATGATAAAAGGACATAATCATCAGCTAATAACATCACTAGATAACCAACAAAAGCTTATGTTATCCCTAATTATTAATCAAACTAACATATGAAAAACATACTAATTAAAACAAAGACGGCTAAATTATTGTTCATGAAGGTTTTTAATTTAATCCCTCAAATATACGTGTGAAAAACTTGAGCTCCAATGTGCCAAGCCTCTCGTGAACTTCCGTTCGGTACATACTCCCCTTGGAGTCGAGTCCGTTGCCTCCAGCCGCCATCACGTCCAGCTTGTAGTTCACGCCGTCCGCCACCTGGAATAGGCCCCTCCGAATGCTTACAAGTGTCAACCGATGCTTGAAATTATTTTCCCAGTTGTGCATTGCTACTGCAAACTTGGCAATCTCCTGGACGCGATAGGTGTGTATGTTCTTTATCGGCTGCCACCCACCGTAGGGATTAGCACTGACGGAGGAGAGAACGACTGCGACTGTAATTAGAGCCACAAGAAATGTAACAGGCTTCATCTTTCGTACGCAAGTGATTCTTCGTGTGATTTTGTTCAGAAGAAGATGTTTGCTTGGTGTGTTTTGGATGTGAAGCGAGACTAATTGTGGTGTGTATTTATAGGATGTGGTGAACTGATTTATTTGTTTCAGTTGTTTGTTTTTTTGTTCTACGCTAAAGTTGTCCATTTTTAGGTAAGTAGCCCGTTATTATAGATAGTGGGTAATATCTTGTAGCATTTTTTTTTTCTTAACTTAGCCTATTGACTCTCCTCTTATACCGGTTATTTGTAATCTTCCCGATTTTAACATTACATGCCATAAAGTTCTTGACTATTCTTATTTTTACCATCTAGGTAAAAAAAATGTTCATAATGGGAATGTGCAAGGTATGTAGGAGAGTTACAGGAGTGAGAGTATCTTCCCCTGAAGAGAAGAAAATGGGATAGTTATGTTTGAAAAGCAGACTCGAATGGGGTATGTTCGCAAGGTTTACTCAAGTTACATACTTGGCATGTGTTGGTGGTATATGTTGAGTTAGGCACTTTACTAGTTCTTGTAACATATAACAATGGGAGGATCGGTGAAGCATATCCATCATTCTTATTAGTTATTACACAGTCCATAGTATGATAGTATAAAAAAGTACGCATACAGGCCATCGTGTATCTTTATTCCTATCTAATCGGGTCATGGCGGTAGGCGGCGGCGTGCTTAATTTTCATATCTGCAGCTCCTTTCGGCAAAGGTTCCGGCGACGGAATAACTAGTGATTTTTTATGGGCACTAACCTTCTGTTGGCGGGACTAATATAGGATATCCGGCCTACTCCACCTCCTCCTCTCGGTGGTGTCAAACCGGGAAGGCCATTAGTACGATATTGTCCGCTTTGGGCCAAGCCCGCATGGATTTACTCTTGGGTATCCTCCCCAAAAGGCCTCGTACGAATAGGGCTGGGTGGACTCTTGTATACAAGGGTCCCTTCCCTTGTATTACCGATGTGGTACTTGGATTTTCGCATAACAATGTTCCCCTGAAGTCAAGGACCACGAACTTCGTGTCCTCACCTTAGCGATTATCTTGATCCGCCAGACACCTTGTATCGATGGGCTTCTTAGTACAAGGATTTTTTCATACGCGGAACTCTCTTTGATCCGCCAAACAGAAGTGGATTTCTCGACCAGACAAATGCAGACCTCCCTTGATCCGCCAAACCAGATGTAGCCCAAACATGGATCCACCAGACCAGACGCAGATCTCAGATTCCGAGGCCACCGAACGAGGGTCCACCAAACTGTTGTCCACCGCCCTGAACCAAACCAGGCTCTGATACCACTTGTCAAACTGGGCAACCCATTAATACAATATTGTCCGCTTTGGGTCAAGCCCGCACGGATTTACTCTTGGGTATCCTCCCCAAAAAGCCTCGTACTAATAAGTCTAGGTGGAATCTTATATACAAGGGTACCTTCCCTTGTATTACCGATGTGGTACTTGGATTGTCGCATAACAATGTTCCCTTGAAGTCAAGGACCACGAACTTCGTGTCCTCACCTCAGCGATTATCTTAATCCACTAGACACCTTGTATCGATGGGCTTCTCGGTACAAGGATATTTCCAGGCGCGGAACTCTCTTTGATCCGCCAAATAGACGTGGATTTCTCCACCAGACAAATGTAGACCTCCCTCGATCCGCCAAACCAGAGGTAGCGCAAACGAGGAACCACCAGACCAGACGCAGATCTCAAATCCCGAGGCCACCGAACGAGGGTCCACAAAACTGTTGTCCACCACCCTGAATCGAATTAGGCTCTGATACCACTTGTCAAACCGAGCATCCCATTAACGATATTGGCCGCTTTGGGCCAAGCCCGCACGGATGTACTCTTGGGTATCCTCCCCAAAAGGCCTCGTACTAATAGGGCTAGGTGGACTCTTATATACAAGGGTCCCTTCCCTTGTATTACTGATGTGGTACTTGGATTGTCCCATAACAATCCTCCCCTCAAGCCAATGACCACGAACATCGTGTCCTCACCTCAACGGTTATCTTGATCCGCCAGACAGCTTGTATCGATCGGCTTCTCGGTACAAGGATTTTTCCAGACGCAGAACTCTCTTTGATATGCTTCCCAAACACGGACCTCTCTTTAATCCGCCAAACAAACGTGGATCTCTCCTGGATCCACCAAATAGCCCAAATGCAGATCTCCCCTCATCCGTCAAACAGACGTGGATCGCAATACCCGAGGCCACCGCCCTGGAACCGATCCAGGCTCTGATACCACTTGTCAAACCGGGCCACTCAATTAGTACGATATTGTCCGCTTTGAGATAAGCCCGCACGGATTTGCTCTTGGGTGTCCTCCCCAAAAGGCCTCGTACTTATTGGGCTAGGTGGACTCTAATATACAAGGGTTCCTTCCCTTGTATTACCGATGTGGTACTTGGATTGTCCCATAACAGGTGGCTTATACGGACTTATATCCATGGTTTGAAATAACTCAAAGAAGGGTACTTAAGCGTATCCCAACATGACCTGATCTGGTAGGACTCGTCGGAGATGTTGATTAATGAAAATGATAAGCCTAGTTCAGGATACACTTCAAAAAACAAAAGAACATTCACGCTGCTTATATATTATTCTATTTTACGTATATATGAAAGCTGGGTTCTAACAGTGAGAAAGCATGACAGCGAGCCATTTGTCCCAAGTATCATAAATTACCCTATTAATGTTGTGTTATTTACAACTATGCCATCAGATCGCCAGCTGCATGTCGTCTTTCTCATGGAGTTTTCCAACTGCATAATCTCTTCTGCCACGTTTCAGATCCAATCTTCCATGTCCACGTAGTTTTCCTTCTAACAAGAAAAATTCTCTTCAACTCCCGGAAAGGAGAAGGAAGGAAATTGTCCGATTTCTCACTCCCATGCCACAGTCGACGTCTTTTATAATTACATCCAGACTTTTGAATCGAGTTCATAAAAACATGGATTGCCCCATGCACCTGAGCAGATGGATTGGATCCGTAGAAGGCATACACAGAAAGGAAACGATGATAGATTCAATGATTTGAAAGCATCGATCTCCTTCTAGGAGGATTTGATCCCCACAAGCATGCAAACAACGATCGATTCACTGATTCAGATAACCACCATGGAAAATGATCTAGCAATCGAATATCTGGTTAAGAATCAGAAATTGGAGAAGTAATCTAGGGAAATTTTGACATTGTTATGTTCATGTCACTTTTTGACCCTATGACCCTTATCAACAAATAGTTTTCAAATTCCTCATACCAACACATTGGAGTTGTTTGTAAAGTATAAAAAGTTTAGGTACTAAATTTATAAAAAAGTTTTGGGTACCATCATGTAATTTTACCAAAAAAATTTACGAGCCTATTTGTAAAAAAAATAAATTTTGGGTACTAAATTGTATGAAAAAATAAATTTCGATACCAAGATGTAAATTTTTACAATATGTTGATTAGACCGAACTACTGACCCGCTCCGACCTAGAGGGTCAAATAGGATAAAAAATGAAACAGGGACAAGACATGGTGGGTTAGTTTTAATAGGGCAGTGAGTTTTGTTATTTATATTTTATGGACTGGAGCCTGTAATTACATTTTACCTTCAAATTAATATCATAATATTTGTTGACTAGAAGCATTAATGAACAAAGTTGTCGGTGGATACGAATGGACATGGGTTTGCAACAACAAAACAAAAGCGCATCAATGCCGCATCGTAGGTCGGCTTCAAGCTCCTGCTGGTTGTTATATTAAAACGGAGACATTAAAACGGAGACACTAGCAATTAAAGCACAATTGTACTTACGATAAAAGGACATAATCATCAGCTAATAACATCACTAGATAACCAACAAAAGCTTATGTTATCCCTAATTATTAATCAAACTAACATATGAAAAACATACTAATTAAAACAAAGATGGCTAAATTATTGTTCATGAAGGTTTTTAATTTAATCCCTCAAATATACGTGTGAAAAACTTGAGCTCCAATGTGCCAAGCCTCTCGTGAACTTCCGTACGGTACATACTCCCCTTGGAGTCGAGTCCGTTGCCTCCAGCCGCCATCACGTCCAGCTTGTAGTTCACGCCGTCCGCCACCTGGAATAGGCCCCTCCGAATGCTTACAAGTGTCAACCGATGCATGAAATTATTTTCCCAGTTGTGCATTGCTACTGCAGACTTGGCAATCTCCTGGACGCGATAGGTGTGTATGTTCTTTATCGGCTGCCACCCACCGTAGGGATTAGCACTGACGGAGGAGAGAACGACTGCGACTGTAATTAGAGCCACGAGAAATTTAACAGGCTTCATCTTTCGTACACAAGTGATTCTTCGTGTGATTTTGTTCAGAAGAAGATGTTTGCTTGGTGTGCTTTGGATGTGAAGCGAGACTAATTGTGGTATGTATTTATAGGATGTGGTGAACTGATTTATTTGTTTCAGTTGTTTGTTTTTTTGTTCTACGGTAAAGTTGTCCATTTTTAGGTACGTAGCCCGTTATTATAGATAGTGGGTAATATCTTGTAGCATTATTTTTTTTTTTTGCTTAACTTAGCCTATTGACTCTCCTCTTATACCGGTTATTTGTAATCTTCCCGATTTTAACATTACATGCCATAAATTTCTTGACTATTCTTATTTTTACCATTTAGGTAAAAAAATGTTCATAATGGGAATGTGCAAGGTATGTAGGAGAGTTACAGGAATGAGAGTATCTTCCTCTGAAGAGCAGAAAATGGGATAGTTAGGTTTGAAAAGCAAGCTCGAATTTGGTTTTGGGTCGAACTGATCAGGTGAGTATTGGGTCGATTCGGGTACGTTCGCAAGGTTTACTAAAGTTACATACTTGGCATGTGTTGGTGGTATGTTGAGTAGGCACTTATACTAGTTCTTGTGACACCTAAAAGGGGAGGATCGATGAAGCATATCCGTCATTCTTATTAGTTATTACACAGTCCATGATATAAAATTATGCAT